TGTCTGTGCTCTAAGGAGGACTATTATTAACAGCAGATATACAAGAGATGGTATAGTGCATTGCATCTACACTAAAAGGTGCCCTGGATATTGTTTATGCAATTTCTCCCACCAACTGTGCTTTTCAGACATAAATCAAAACTAAATTCCAGAAACTTAGGTTCTTTTTGTTCTTTATGGCTCAGTCAACATTTTACTACTTCTAGGTTAAGWAGACTATTGGGGGACTTGTGAAAGAAAGGACCAACCCCAATACAATACTCAAACTATTTAGGTGGAAGAAATTTTCTCAGTTCATAATGGTATAGTTTGGGGAATGTCTTCCAAAGTTTTCCAAAAAATGACTGAAACAAGTAATTCTACTTCTGAGATTTAATTTGCATTTATAATGAAAATACAAACAGAATATCTGTAGAAAATACATATGTGAGTTTAGTGCTATATGAAATTCTTGTTTTGATTCAATTTACATCTTCTTACAAAGTAAGGTTCCTACAGTCTTAAACGAGAACTTTCCCAGGGTTGCAAATTGCCCAAGCAATACTTTAAAAAGTAAAGTATGCTTACTTGTTTGTCGATCATAATTACTGAAAGCTTTCCAATTTCCAATTGCGGGTTTTTAAATATATAATATGAAGAAAAAATCTGAATGCAGTCCACGTTTGTATATCCAAAATCTTTTTTGTAACAAACACTAGACATGATTGGTCATGTTATACTTTAAACCAATTTTRCAAATCCTATGACATCTATCATAATTCATCTTTTTGGACTCAGTATGTGTGTAATGATGATGAGGCTAAAAATTATGCAGGCAAYATTCCAATAGAAAGCCACAGGAGTATGATTGTTCAAGGAGTCCAGARCAGAATACAGGGTGATCTGTTTAACTGAGACTGTGACTGGAAAATGTTAATACACTGAAACAGTGTTTCTCTTTTCATTGGCAAACAAGAGAAATATTTGTTGATATGCTAAACAAGTCCCTTCATATCTGCATAGGAGTAAAAAGGCTCTTGAGGCTGGGGAGGGACAGAGAGGAAATTGTGCCTGGGTACTTTCTCTTGATTAATTTCAAGAATGAGTCTTGAAATACTCTTGGCTTTCCATTAAATGTGTAATCAGTTAATTGCACAATTAATCAATGAACAAGGCAGGAAAACGAAAAGAGCCCTGTGTGCCTGTGTGGTTCTGAGAAATAAATAAATTGCACAGCWACCTATATAATGTACATGTATTTAGGGAATAAGTAACTATTTTTATATTTCTGAAGTAGGGACCAATTTATTCCTGGTTGCTGCTCATGAACTTGGCCACTCCCTGGGTCTCTTTCATTCGGCCAACCCTGAAGCCTTGATGTATCCAGTCTACAAATCCTTCACAGACCTGGCCCGCTTCCGCCTTTCTCAAGATGATGTGGATGGCATTCAGTCCCTCTATGGTAAGTGATGCTGGTCAAAACAGGTATCGTAGCTTTGCAACCAAGGATGCCATGTGAGTATTGGATATTTAGCTCACAGCACCTTGAGGATGTTTGCAAAGCATCTAAATCCACATCACCTTTCCCCTCATGTTTGCCTTCTTTACTCTTTCCTTCAGGACCTGCCACTGACCCCCCTCGGAATCCCCTGGWGCCCACAAAGTCTAGCTCACCAGAGTCTGGGCTAGGCTCACCACCAGCCATGTGCGATCCTGCTTTGTCCTTTGACGCAGTCAGCACCCTCAGGGGAGAAATCCTATTCTTTAAAGACAGGTCAGGCYRGAAAATTATATTTTCCTCTCTATCCTTTTGATGTAAAATGCTTAGGAAAGAAAACAAACAGAAACTTGATAGAGATATTGAAACATTAAACATTTAAGATAAAAAACATTTCCCCTGAGCTTCAAATCATTCAGATCTGGTGCTCTCCTTTCCACATTTTCCTAAATTGCCAAGTTCACATATGAAAACTCAGRATGATTTGGTTCTTGATCTTGAATTGTTTTTCCTGGACATTCTAAGTCATATTTACTTTTCAAAGGATACAAGTAGATCTTTAGATTCAGAATTTTATCTGTGCTTCCTTTCAAAATGATGCCAGGATAAGTATYACATTTAATTTGCTTACAGTTTGATATATACACACATGCTACACATTCAAACTGCCCAAATGAAAGTTACATTTTTGCTTCCCCAGATGACTCTACAGTCAATACTTCTTGTGTTTCCTCCCAGAATTATTCTAGGCATATACAAGAATATATTTAAGCAACACACACACACACACACACACACACACACACACACAATCTTTTTGAAAAGTGTGGACGGTAACATGGTGTATACACCATTTTGCATGCCTTACAGGTAGTTAAAGCTTAGTTTTCATGGTAGGATAACTTTCCTTTCACAGAAGACATTACTCTGGAAATCTGTGACAGGAAACACTTTGCAGTGTTCTGAAGAAAAAGTAAAGCTACTTTTCCAATGATGATATACCTAATTTCCATCTGGAATCTAACCTAGAAGATGAAGGAATRGGAGACAGTGGGAGAAGTGGGACAGGGAGGAAATTGTGCTAAAGATGAAAGACTATTTTTCAATWTACACTTCTCTTCACATGGATTTCAGGCATTTTTGGCGCAAATCTCTCAGGGCCCTGGAACCTGAGTTTCATCTGATCTCTTCATTTTGGCCATCCCTTCCTTCAAGTGTGGATGCTGCATGTGAAGTTACTAGCAAGGATACTGTTTTCATTTTTAAAGGTAATTATTATATAAACATTGAAATAARCTCTCTGACAATCAAACTTAAGAGGACTTTAATTTTCTCTACTGTGTCAAATTTTGGCTGTTAAAGTTGCTAAAGGTTATGAGGAAATAGCTAAGATCAGTCAAATGATCAGTCATATTCTATTATATCTGAGGGTTAAAAAAAATGAACACAGGAAGATAAACTACCCAGGGTTGTAAATTCATTCATTTGATTTTTGTTCATTCCTTTAATATGCATATTTTTGTTAAATGTCCACTATGGAGCTGGAGACTAAATCTAAAATCTAGGCTTCATCTTTAAGGTGCTCAAATGTATTTCTAAAACTAAAAGGATTTTAACTGTTATAAAGTCAATATGACTCTGAATTTTTAACAAATAGGAAACCAGTTCTGGGCCATCAGAGGACAAGCAGTAGAAGCTGGTTACCCACGAAGCATCTACACACTGGGTTTTCCCTCAACAGTAAGGAAAATTGATGCAGCCATTTCTGATAAAGAAAAGAAGAAAACTTACTTCTTTGTAGAGGGTGAATACTGGAGGTAAGATGCAATAGGAAAGACTTTGTCTAGATCCCAGTTAGGGAGATCGCCCCTCCACTCTACCCTTGGATCTGCTTCCCTCTCACTAGAGGGTGGGGGCTCCTGACACTGTGGGCCAGCACCTCCCCAGACACACCGCAGTGCCTCACAGCAGACATTGCTTCAGCTCTCCTGAGTGGTGTTCCATCAACTCGGCTGGCACTTCTACTTCTACGCTGCTCCCCACCTACCTGGAGTCCCTCATTTTTTCTCTTCCTACTTGATCCTTCCCATTCTTTGAGTCCTGGTTCAAATCCCATTGCCCCCCATGAAGCCTCCCCTCCTGAACTTCAAGATCTTTGTCTCACKGAGTGTTTGTCTTATCTTATTAACATTACAAATGCTTTCAAGGACTCCTTTAAATTGACCCATTTATTATCTCTGCCTGTTTGAGGAGCAACAAGAAACATTAGTCCTGTTTTATGAATACAACTCAGGATTTGAAGACAGGCTAGTGCCTAGGCCATCTGCCCAGACTCTGAGATATCAGGGCAGACCACACAATGCCCAGCCCATGAGCCCAAAACATATTTTCATGCTCTGCTTCTTGTCTCAAATCCTTTTCTTAGGAGGCAGCCACAGAAYTCCTCTTGTGTGGGGTGAGGAGGGAGGGCAGGTATATACAGACCAATTAWGGTCGGGAACTTGAGGTTGTATTTCAGATAAATGATTAAACTCACTCTKTGTGTATCTGTGTGTACATTTATCTGTTTACAACTTCATGCCTGCAAATAGACAATTAAGGATCTTTCCTTACCGTCCATTACAAAAATTATAAGCAGCATYTTCTATAGTAGGGTGTTGCACCTGCTCCTGATGGAGCTTTGGCCTTAATAACTAAGTTGGTAGTGCTGTAAGGTCATATATCTCTATAGTGATAAATATGTTTGATGTTTATTTGCAGTACTTGGGAAATTTACTAGAATTCCATATGATTTATGAATTTGGTTAACACAGTCTGTACGCAATCCTGAGCTGGTCTTCTTTTACTTGGTAYAGATTTGATGAGAAGAGCCAATCAATGGAGCCAGGCTTTCCCAGGCAGGTGGCTGAAGACTTTCCAGGGGTGGACTCAAAGGTTGACGCTGTTTTTGAAGCATTTGGTAAGAGGATTCTTACTCTGTTGACTGTAGGACCCTTTAAACATTCCATGGCATCAGTGGGAAGAGGAGAATTGAATAAATTTTAATAACAGGATTTTTAAAAAGTCAGTTCCCTCCTCCTTCYCCCAAATTTCAATTCACCTACCTCTGTACCAACTGTATTACTACCTCACATGAGTTGTTTTGCATCGTAAAGATAATTAACACAAACCTCTATTTTATACATGTTGTATATAAAAACCAAATTTCTCAGGTGTTACTTTATCACATTACCATGCGTTGGTGCAAATATCCCATCAAAAGATGTGGTCAGGTTTAATATTGCCTGGCTGACCTTCTCCCTCATCTCATCCAGTTTTTATTACTAATTCCCAGGGAGATTTCTCTGTCTTGTTTAAATTTGTGATTGGCCACATTGCAAATACTTTTCTTCCTGTGTACTCAAGGTTTTAATAACAATAATTTAAAAAAGCATTTTTTCTCACTCATGGATAAGTGAATGGACGTTGATGATCTTTACTGAAAGATAACCTGGGTACCATGTTTTCAGAACACTGAAGTGTGGCCTTTGTTTTGAAAGATTTACTGTGATTCTTTGAGGGCAGAAATGTCCCTCAGGCTGCACAGTGGAGAAAAGGGAGGAGGAGGAATGTTATGAAGAAAGRAAGAAATAGAGAGAGAGAGAAAGAGAGGGAGGGAAGGGAAGGAGTAAGGAGGAAAGCAAACAAGCAAGCACGAAAGAGATCATAGTTTTCAAGCAAGCAGAGAGGGTTTTTGTTTGTTTGTTTTTTCTGATTAGAAGCAGAACAACCTAAATATTTAGAACTTGGCTATGATACAGACATCTTCCTTCTTTGTGGAGTAAGTCTGGACAAGCATCTAAATCTGTCCAAACCTCTACTTGCTCAACTGTAAGACGGAGTTAGATGTGTGTACCTTTCAGGGCTGTTGTATAAATAAATGAAAAACAATCTCATAAAATGCTTAGTATTTTTTCTGGCACAGAGTAAAACTCTATAAAGACTTAATATTTTCAGTTATCTATTTTTCTGAGTTTTCTCTGTTGCCCGATTTCTTTTTTTGAAAAAAAAAATCACTGTTTCTCTTGTCTGTATTTGCAGGGTTTTTCTATTTCTTCAATGGATCTTCACAGTTGGAGTTTGATCCAAATGCAAAGAAAGTGACACACATCTTGAAGAGTAACAGCTGGTTTAATTGTTAGGAAAGAGAAGGAGAAGGCACAATATGGGCATTTTAAATGGAGCTAACAATTCTTCGTCTGCATTTGTGAATTGAAGTGGTTCATTTTCTCCTGCAAGTACTAGGACAGAACTCAAGTATGAGCTCTGTTTCTTGTCAGTCATCTTCACCTTACAGGGCATTMAAAAGGATTGCTGCTTATCTTGCACTTTGGCACATGGACTGATCTTTCACAAGAGAAAGGGAAGTGTTCATGGACAACAGACAAGTGATTGTATCTATATAAACTATTTGCTTGTTATTTAATAAATATAATTTGTCACTTATTTAATTTTTTGTTGTTTTTTTCAAGAATAATTCTTATCATCTTGGGCACAGYATGGGCTGAGCAATAGACAGCCTGAGATGCTTGGTCAGTGCAGCTGGCAGGACTAGTCTCCCTTGCTAGGATCTCATAATGGGTTTATCCAGAACTGAAGACAGTCATCCACTTGTCCTCCCCATGCACCATACAAATAGGATGCTTATTTCTACCACCCAGACATTGTACATGTTCTGACATACCTAAGAAGAATGATCTAGGGGATTGTCATGTTGTAGAGTAGGCTCTGAGAATAATKGTGAAGTGAACCCTATGATCATCACACACATCTTTTCACAGGTCGGAAAGTCAAAGTTAACTCTTGGTCTCTTCCTTTTACTTATATATTCCCTCAGTAATGCCCCTTCCCTGCCCTAGCCAACAAATTTTCTTATAAATACCCTATTCACACATGAAAATATCCTCTTATACTCATTTTATATCTGTCTGTACATAGAGGTAAATGTCCATTGATAAATGACAGTTCTAAAAGAYGTTTATCGCCCTTAAGTAACATCTCTAGCACAATGCCAGGGTAAGAGTTCACCCTTTGGTKGATCCATTCCTTTGAGAATAATTTATTAATCATACTCAAGTGCTAGGCATTGTGCTAGGTTGTGGACATAGGAACCTGGAAAAATGGACACAGTCCCTGCTGTCCTTATTGAGATTACAATTGGGCAAAAATGATTATATGCAAATAATCGCAAATGTGAACATGTGATTGTAAACTTTTAAGAGTTGCAAAGGAAAAATAGACACCTTTTGTAAAATAATAGGGAAATCTAATTTGAACTTGATGGCTTTAGAAAAAAGCTTTTKAGGAAATGACATAGAGAAGGGAGGTGTGGAGAGTAGGTAGGAGATAATGGYATAACTAACGTGGTCACATAGCAGGGTCACAGATAAGAAATRGCAAATATGCAAATAAGATGGACATTAGGGCTCAGTGGGGGGATTAGACATGCAGCTAAAGAGAAAGTATCCAAAATAATCCCCAGATAGTTTGTTTGAGCACAAAGGTAGAARGTGACATCATTTACTGAGATGGAGGAAGAATGGCAGAGAAGGTTTATGAGAAAAGGGCAAGAGTTGAAATTAATTACTTAGTTTTGYCGTTTCTTGAAATGTCTGTGAGATATTCAGGTAATTGCAAGACAAAGTAGTCTGGAATTCAAAAGACAGAACATAAATATGTGGGAATTTTCAGTATTTATKTATTYACATATGTATTTATTTAGATATTGCATCTTGCTATGTTGTCTGGGTTTRTCTCRAACACCTGGGCTCAAGCCCTCCYTGGTCARCCTCCTGAATGGCTGRGACTACAGGCATGCACCACCATGCTCAGCTTAGTTTTCAGCATTGAGGTTTTTCTTAAAGTCACAAATACAGGAGAGACCATATGGGGAGACTTTACGATGAAAGTCCAAGAAATAGCTACATTTTGCTAAGAAATATAGCATTTTCTTATTTTTAAGGTTATCTAAATTTATTTAGTTCATGTTTGAATGYCACTCCTTAATCACAATGMAAAATTCAAAARGTAAAAAATTATGCAATGGAAAGTAATTTTTCCCTCACCTTTGTCTAGTTCTCAAAGACAGTCAAGTAGATTTTTAAGATTTTTATGAATCCTTCTACTGAAAAAAAATAATAGTGAGTCTTATCACAGTCAATGTCCTTCTACAATCTTTTGTAAAATCATTGTTTTTAATTCTGCAATATATACCTGAAGTTTGATACCACATCTTCATGTTTGCACGATCCTCAATATACCATACCATATACCTCAATATACCTACCATATTTATAACCATCCAAAGAACAAATCATTAATATAAGAGTCAATTAAGTAATATCATCCCAAACCAAATGGTTAAACAAAGGAACCAGTTGTATTGACATCTGTTATTTGATTCTCCCMTGAGTATTAGAAGTTGTTTCTTAGCAAATTAACTTGACAAAATTCACCTTATTTGAGTTTTGACCCAGCAGCTGAACAACAATGATAAAGTCTACAGTCTTACTGAAAAATSTGATAGACAGCGTCTCTAAGTCATTATGCATATTCTATTTTTACATTGTGCTAGAATTTTACTTGTTCAATTTATGATTTTTAAATCTCTGGATTTTCTTTTCTCCAAACTGCTAAYGACAAAATGTGCCACACACCTAAGATTTCTGTTTCTCACTCTATATTTTTCCAACAGAAACATTTTCTCAAGTGTCTATGTTCTATAGAAGAAAAAATTTTCARAGATGGCCACCTTTGTCCAATAGTCTAATACCATCAAGTCTCTGAATCGAGCGGACTTAGAATAGAAAAAAGCAGAAACAAGGTTCTTCTAAGTTTTACATGAACTATTACAAGTGGGAAGTATAAGAAAGTGGCTTTTTTTTTCTTAAGAAGTGTGAGTCTTGTTGAGGAAATGAGTACTTAGCTGTCATATCACAGCTTTCTAAGTAGTGGGACAGTCAGGGAATTCTGCACTGGTGAACATGGTGAACCTGGTCATTTACCAGGTATAAACTTCCAGCACTTCATTCATTTTGTGCTTGCTCCAATTTGGCTTAAGTCTGTGCCAGTTCACCTTTTGTTTTTAGAAAAACCAAGTTGGTGGTTAAGTCTACCACTACTGATCTCAGTTGGGCAACACTAGGCTGTTGGCTTTGCTTGAGGTCCTGGATTTGAGAWGCAGTCTCTTATCCCTGGGTTGCTACTCCTCTGTCCCTGTGTGCAAACTCCTGCTGTGGTTGCTTTAGTTTTTCTTCAGGATGCCTTTAGCTAGTTACATCACGCAAGCTGGGTTTTGTGGATGGCCTTCCAAAGCTCAAACGGCTGTTTCATATTTAGCGTCTCATGTTAAAATGAACTCAAAAAAGTGCCATGGCTTTGAAGTCTGTTCCACTCAGCCAAATCTTTAGGAAGAGTTTTTTTGTTGGTTATTTTCAATCTGAGAGTTGCTTCCTGGACCAGACTCAGGCATTCCTCCAACCCTACAAGGGGATTGTGGCCAACCAGAGCCCCAGCAGCCTGACCCAGCTCTGTCCTTTCCCTGGAGTCTAYGGAATAAATATGTTGTTTATTTACTCAATTATTGGTGATTGAACACATAAATTTATGCACTAAAAAAACAAATTGAAGAAATAAAATGTTAAAGAATATTTAAATAAATATTATATAAAGAAAATAACAATTTTATAACATACAAATACATTTTAGATACATGATATTTAAAAGRAAAATAATAAAATTTGTGTGCAGCTGTAGATTATTTCCAGTATTCAGTTATCAGTAAGCTATCGTCTTCAATATTTTGCTATYACATCCAGTGCTACAATGAATATGCTTGAACACACTTGCATATTTGATGAAAAATCTAATCTTCAAAGGCTGAGCAAGGATGGAGGAGCAAGAACACTGCCGGATGATTTCTCCAACAGGAAGGCCATTGGATGCTCTTCACAATAGCAGTGTTGGTGGAATAGCTGATCTGCATTAGGATTGTGGGTAGAAAAGTTGCAAAGTTAGAATGTCTTGATTACAGGTAGTAGAAAATTTGTGTTGGTTTATATATAAAGGAGACTATTGGTTTGCATTACTTAAAAGTACAAGACCAGGGCAGGTTTTAGTTTTAGTGTAATGGGGTACTGGCTTCTTCACTCTGGGACTGTCTTATTTTACTTTRAGAATGACTTTCTTCATGGCAACAAAACAAATACAGTAGTTCCAGGCATCAAGCCTACATAGAATACCACCTCTGACCAGGAGAAGACAGTTTTGGGCCTCCCCCTACTTGGATCATTTTAATCACATAAGCATCCAKACCAGTCACTGTGGCAAAGAGGAATTCACCCTGGTCACATTGGTGTTGCAGAGTRGAGGAAAATATGTTGAGGCAGCAATCTCTGTCCATTTACCACAAAACAAATCTGGGTCATGAGAATGTGGAAATAGTAGATACAGATGATTATTAGATGTTGGTCTGGGAAGATAGAAAAAAAATATTTTCTGTGTCCTGGAAGACCAGATTCATAATTCTTACACATGTGTTTGCTTAATTGGGCAAAAGGAATGAAATAACTTTTTATTTACTGGATACCTCTTTTGTGTCAGCCACTGGACTAGGGTCCTGATATGAAATGCTGTTCATTTACTCCTCATAGTAACAGTTGCATTGGTGGTTTGTCTCAATAGTGCAAAAAAATTTTGAGTGCTTCAGTAACTTAGTAAGTACAGTTACATAGTAAGTACCATTGGTGGGATCATCCTAATTTCAAAGATCTCATTCTTACTTTGTCTTACAGACAATAWGTTAGCCTCCATGGTCTTATCTCATTAGTTTTGACTCCATTCTGTAGTAGAGGTTCTGCTGTATGCTGTATGACCACGATGGGCCTGTATAATCTTTAATCCTGCAGTTTAAAATCCCTTCAAGCTCAAAGGCCAAGGTTCTTTTGTGTGCATTTCACATATATYCTTGCTAAATTCTTCTGTGCTCTCCTAACTTGTAATTAAAATTGGGGAACCTTATACCTGCTACTTACTATTTGTGTCTGTAAATTTCCCAAGCCATCTTGTTCCAAAAGGCCTGATGTGTATGTGTGTGTGCTCACAAGCCACTTGCCAAGGTTTGCTTGATGCCAGCCGGAGGCCA